TTAAAAACGACTATTTATAACATATTACTTATTTATTGAAAATACGTATATAACAAACAATAGGCAAACACAAATAAAAGAAACACAGTGTATATGTACAGTATGTACACTAATACCTAAACTAAAATTTGCTCGTAATCGGATATCACTATAGTCCTCGTCTCATTTATTGTAGCGATAAGATGCTCCTTTTTCAAAGAACGTAACTCAAGAGGAGTATGTGTGTATACATATTGATATGCGAAGAACATTCTTTGAACGCATTGTTAAGAAAACGTGAAATTTTGGCAATGTTTATTTGTCATATATCTGTATGATTCGTATTACGCATAATATGTGTTTACAGAATGTTACTAGGTTGAGGGGCTTGTGGCTAAGTAGTAACTGAGTAGGCTAACGCATTGCAAAGTTAAGCAATCTTAGCCAGGACAGTCTATGGACGGGTGCCTCAGAGAGCACGTTAAGCCGTTTGGTCCGGTTTGCCATTCGAAAATAAGTGGTTGTCGTTACGGGTACTTGGAGCCCTTAAAAGTCCGCCAACAGTCTTTCTACAGAATATCGATATTGCCTAGTAGACTTATAGCTGATCCTAAACTAGTGTCGGGAAAAGGCTGGGTGAAAGAACAAATTTACTAGCAATTACTCCAAAGAGTTTTTCATAATTTTTGTATGACCAGTCTGATGTCATGACCGACAATGAATTCACTGTAGTAAGTGATAAAGTCGAGAAGACACAATGTACAGAGAATATTAATTAGACTACTTTGCATACAATTAAAGCCAGAAAATAGATGTAGACCTGGTGTTATTTTTCCATTTCAGGACTGGCCAATTTGACCTATGGCTGCCTTTATGTTTCTTGTCACTCGTATAAATGATACACTCGGTATTCGAGCTTTCTTAATTATTTAGTCGTAGATAATTGTTTTTGGGCAGTGAATCTTTAAACTGAACCTTCACTGGAATTCTTCAATTTCAAGCAAAGTTTATGAAAAAAAGGGAAAGGGTTTCGAGAGCTACCTGTGCGATATTTACTGACTGTGATGATTAAACAACGAGTTCCTAATCTGAAATACTAAAATTAAATAATACTCTGTAACAAACTTGCAACGTATAGGAAAAAATACGTAGGCTAAAATAAAAATGACATCGGTGAAATTTGAACAAACTTACCTAATTTAATTTTGAGTGCTATTCGTAAAAACTTTTCACCGAACATTAAATGTAAATAAAACATTTTAATAATATAGTATATTTTGTACAGAATTATATAGGTATTACGCGGTATAACAACGGCTCCGAGTATAGATAAAGTGAAATTAATTCGTAGTAAATAAGTATATTCATTGTTGTGTGTATGACATGTTGACATCGGTAAAGGATTCGCGGCAGGAAAAAAACAATGTGTAACCGGTCTGTCTGTCCGGCCCAGGCGCGAGGCCTTAACCTACGTAAATATCAATAAACCCTAAACATACACGCGAGAGCCGTGTAGGTGCTTGGTACCGTCTGCAAAACTATAATATGGTAGAAATTCAATTCATTTTCTGTTAACGTTTTAGTGTGTCATAACCATTGTCGGCAAGGAGCTTTTTATGTATTATTTTATTCATCCATTTTTATGGTTTTATTATTACATACACTTGATCAATGGCTTTGAAAGATTTAAATATGAATACAACAGACAGTTAGTTTATTATTATTAGTTTTAATTACTGTGCAAATAATTAATAATAATAACTTGATAGGTGGCCGTCTGATCCCAAACTAGGTAGAGCGTTTACCCAATAACCAGGTAACCAGACTACTGACAAACACACTTATAAATTACTAATAGATAATCATGCCCAGAAACAGAACAAATTATGGTGCTCAACACACAATTATTGATAGATAGAAATCTAACTCACGACCTCGGCTCAGCAGTCACGATCATTAGCCTGTGTTAATATATACGAAATATGATCCAAAATAAATAATATAATCCATAAAGCGACAAAAAAGTATTATGTATATTAAAAGTAATGTTTGTATACAGATATACCACGTCTTCGGTTTAGAAGTTTTGAATGCACCCGGTGGACTAGACTAGGAAATTAGGCTGTTCAACGGTAGAGTGAGAGATTTGAATAAAATATTATTTAACTAACGAGGCGGGACTACGCGAGTCACGTCTCGTTAGTTATTTTAATTCTGGAGGATTATTTTTCGGTATATTACATAGGGATTAAAATCTCTTCTCTTTTTGATAAATTATTATTTAAGGAAGCACATGAGAATTATCCAAGCAGTAAAATATCAAATTCTACTTTTGCCATTAAGAAGTAACACGAATGAAAATGTTAATTTTCTGGTTGATATATAACTTCGCGATCAACTGGAGTGTAAATTCGATCAATTTTTAATATAATGACTGAGACTTTCTGTAACATAGATATATTAATGATATTTAATAGGTTATATTTTTAATTATTATTTCTCGTTACTTTGTAATTTAAATAAGCACAATTTTCATTAAGTTTATGACTTTAAGAATAAGATTTGTTTCTTCTCAAGATTCTTGACTTTCTGCTACACCTATTACAAGTTCATGTCACATTTAATCCAAAATTATAAAGTAGAGAGGTTGCTTATAGGAGGCACTTTACACTGTACTGAACCAATTATTTTGACATTTAACGATCATAACTATAGTTTCTTTTTAGAAGTAAAAGGTTACCTAAACATGTCTCAAATTAAACCTATTGCCAATATGCTGAAAAGGGTCGTCAGTAATAATCTAACCGACCTGATATCCCTGAGTCCTGATAGAGGAGTGGTCTATAATGCAAAATATTTCCCCTGTACCTATCAAACTTGCCCTTAGCACCGGCAAGTACGAGTTAAAAAAAAATACTTTAGGTAAGTTCCAATATACGTTGCCTATATATCTAATTAAGTTTCAATTATCATTAAACTCACATGAAGCCTTGGCTAATATAGTACCTAATGCTTGAGACACTATACCCTGCACTATACCAGTGCCTTTTATTTCTTACAAGAACGAGTCTCATTGCATTTAATATTACACATAATTTAGCAGCTTATGATCGTTGATATTGTCTTTTACGAAAAAAAAAATATCGGCTTCTCACTTCACATCAATGTCGGTTTTTGCAAATGTATTTCTAATGTTTTATATATAACAATAGGAATATCAAAGATAAGGCTTCTTTTGTGAAAAGAAGCCTATATTTTTCGGGAACCCGTCTACTAGCAATAAATACTTTGTTTTCCTTGGCATCACTACATTTACAATGTAATGGAGAAACGAGCATATACAATGCCTTTTCTATATACATTTTCTGGCCCACTTTTATACTTTTTCTTTCACTAAGAACTTTCTTAACAAAATTACGAATATTCAGTAACATTGGTGAATTGGTAAAACGCTTATAAATTACAGAGAAAAGCCTACTTGAAACTAATATAATGTAATCACTAGCTAAGTATATTCGTTATTAACCGACGCGCGACGACTTCAAAAACACAAAAGAGGAGTTTCCTCTGTATTTTTTTAATGATACAAATATGAACGACTATTCAATCAAGTCGGGCTATCGAACTTTCATCAAAATATAAAACACACTTTACACAAACTTGCATATCAACAAATGACTTCCTACAAAACATTCATGGCTATTAAAAATCTTACGTGTCTGCTCTTAGTATGCGTAACAACAATATCGTGTCGTAGTTGAAGGCCTCGGACATAAACCATCACATCACTTAAACGTTTTATGGGGTCAGTCCAGGGAGCCCTTAAGTAATAGCTATTCCAAGATTACTCGAGCTAAGAGATCCTTTTTAAAGAAATCGACTGTGCTTTGTTCTAAACCTAAACCTTTTGATTTTTAAACTAGAAAACAATTTGATTTATGTTTTAAACTAGCTTTATTCTGCCAAGCGTCACTGTGGCACATTGTGATTGCTTTGATTAGAAATGAGGAACAAAACTGATCAAAAATATTTAAACAATCATTGAAACGGATCATGTCAAAATTTGAGCTCAACCAACCGGTTCAGGACTTTTGAGTTTTTGAAGCACACACAACCGAACTTAACATTTTAGAAATAGATATTAGAATTTGTATTTTGTTAGTTAGCGATTGCAGCACCTAATCCCTTATAAAGACAATATATATTTTATTTTATATGTTTTAAAAATATTTAAAAGCGTAATAATTTAGTCGAGCCAACCTCATTTACAACTGATGTGAATCGTCTTCTGGCAAAAATATTTAGCTTAGCTGCAGTGATTAACATATATACAATATCGGTTTCTCATCTCTGGATCCCTTTAACACTCCCCGAAATTCGTACAAAAATAAAATTATTCAGATTTTGTCCCAAGCACAAGAATTGCCACAAAAACATACCATCACACTTTGAACATCCCACACACGCTATACAAACACCACTCACCACATTCACTTACACACACTACTCCACATTCACTTACACACACCACTCCACATACAAACAACATTATTGCTATCTGTGTAGCTATATTGGAAATGCACTGTTTTAGGTATATTCATACAGAATTGTTTACTCTTGCTGTGTATTTACCTTCAATTAATTGTGTACTTCGTAATTGGCGTATTGTTCGACTATTTTTATGTAAAATATATACTGTCAGCTGTGAAGAACCTAAGTATTAAATAAATAAATAAATAAATTAACAAAACTACTAGTAAACTAAGCATCTTTTAATCTATTAATTACCAATAATCTATTAAACAAAAACAAAATTGACACATTTTGAGCCACTTTAAAAAGTTCTATTAAGTATATATGTATTCCAAGACATACTACATATGCGGTTACGATAAAGTAACTACCTATAATATAAAATACACCCTTCAGCTAGTCACATACACAGTGAGGGAAATCGCTAATTAAATTAATTGTTTACAGTTGAAAACATCACAATGAAAATGACTGGTTACAACGTGTGCATGGCCATCCTTGTCGGCGCGCTAGCAATGCTGTTTGTTACAGTATCTACTGCCCCAGTGGTAAGTTAATCTACCGTTCATATATACTATACGAGTTATCGCTAGAGTTGCGTCATCATTCCAAGATTTTATAACTTTAATGCCAAAATGCGCTCAAAAAAAATATTGTATAAAAAATATCCTATACCATGTGTCTTCCTTTATAAGATTATTAAGATTTTTTTAACCTTGCATAATAAACACATCTACTCCATCTTAGTAACTAAATGTAAATAGAATTACGTATTCTCCTGATTTAGCATCTTAAATATAACATAATGCGCTGTGCAGTAGTAAAACGAATACATCAGGTTATTATAAAATGATTTTGTGTCATTGGACACTACGAATTATCAATCAACGGACACTACGAACACCTAAACCCGGTTTTTGGAATCGATATATCATCACTTTTCTGAGCTAAAGGAACTCGTCACAAGTCAATAACTATGACGAGTTCCTTCGCGTGAATAGAGTTCAATTTAATGCACATAGATATAGTTCAGTGTCTGTTCAGGACCCTTGTACTTTACCTTTAAACAAATATTATTAAACCTAAATGTAAATTTTCCATTCCAATTATGAGAGCAAGTGGTCCTAGTTGGGCTTTTAAAGTTTGACCCAAACTAACAAACATCCAAACATTAAATGAAAACAGTTGTGTTGTGATCTAAATTTCCGTAACTTTAGTCCACTGGTTTTGTCAAATAACACGATGTTAAAATATTAGGAACAAGTGTAACAGTCATGTAGTTATAAATTAATTATGGATATGTAACCCTCGTATTTTAGATTAAATTGTTCCCCTAGCAACTATTGTAGTGTTAGTTAGTTTATTACAGATTTTAAGTTTATAACTTCAACTTGTTCGTGTGGTGACGGATTAAGAATCACGTCCCCACCCCATTCGTCCCGTGGGCGTCGTAAGAGCCGACTAAGGGAGCAAACTACGCAGGACAACAACACTGCAAACCCTATACCAACCGGTCTGGCCAGCGTGGTATAGTAGGACAAAACCTCCTGACTAAGGAGAGGCCTATGTCTAGCAGTGGACTGTTAAAGGCTGTTGATGATGATGAACTTCAACTTATTTCTTCACTTATTTAGTATTGTACTATATCTTCCAGCAAAGTAACTAATATATAACTTATCACTGAGAACATTAGTCCCGTAACTCAATTACCGGGATTTTGTATTAGATTATCATAACTAATAATGATATTAACATTGAGTCCGATGAAAAGGAAAAGGACGGCTTTCATTAGCGAGCAAACAGTAACGTTGTAAATGGCACAACATGAATACCGTTCAGACTCGTCCTGCCTCTGTAGAAAGGCTGTTCTCATGCTGCAAAATATCTATTAACGTACGAGACGTATTAAATTTGACTATTTACTGATTTTCTATCGTTTTTTTTTACTCGCCATTCAGATTTGTGGGAAATTATGTTACATGTTTGTTAGGTTAGGTTAGTAATAATAGTATGAGCTATGAAGTAAAACTATTATGATTCGTCAAGGACAAATTGTCACAATGACGAGCCCTCTATGCAAGTATATAGTTACGTGAAGGTCATCTACCATTACAATATTGTGGATACAGACATCTCACACACGGCTGTCTGTTCTTTTTATATTTACTTATTTTTCTAATTTAATGTTCAAAATTTATATATGTAATAAAAATGACAAAATAACTTCGCACACCTCACATACATTCAACGTTCAAACCATATCAATGGAATGCAGCAGCTATATAAGTGTAGCTTACTATAAGGAAACCGCTACTCTGAAGAATATGAACTGATAACTACCAATATGTACTATTAATAGTTTACACATAAACTTTCACAATAAGAATGTAATAAATGTGTAAGCAATGGAGGATTAGAATATAAGATTTTTAATAACTTTTCAAATCAAACAAAAGCCGAACTTCAAGAGATAACGAAACAATATCACTCAAACTCAAATAATAACTCAAACAAATAGTGGCATCAAATAATTGAGGTAGACAGGTATATTACACGGAACTGTTATAAAAGACATGTAATGTTAAAACATTACATGTCTTTTGTGTGATGTATCATTACTGTGATGTGTTGTGTTTTTCATTCACAATATCTTTGGATTTACAAAGATTAAAGACACGACAAGAAAATAAAAACATATTTAAAAATGAAAATATGATTTTGCAGGAAATTATTAGCTACTTTTTTTTCCAGCGAGGTACGTACCGTTAGGTACCATTTAAAAAAATCACGAATAACATTTGCCTAGTATAAGCTACCTAACGGTTATAAGTTAGGTAGCTTATTTCCTTTGTAAATTTAAATGTCTAACATACAATTTATACGTACCCATGTACAAAAATACCAAATCATTATTATGACATAGCGTGGGTGGGTACATGTGTGGGTTGAAAGTCCGTCAATAGTGTTGGATACTAATAGACACCTAATGTGAAACTAATGGGTGTCTGTGTGTACAAAACTTCATTGAAACTACTTCACGGGGTTTAAGAAAGTGATATTTGTTCAGGAGCCGGACGACGAGCAGTCAGAAAACACTATTATGACCCATGCAGATAGAGATATGGAGCTGCCAGGCTCATGGGATGCTATCAATACCGCTGCTCTGCGCAAACTGTTGTTGCAACTTGATGCTGAGGACAGGTAAATAATATTTCATTTTCATTCAGCATTTTCGTCGGCTTTTATTAATACAGGCAGGGATAGAACAAGAAACGACAATAAGAGAAGTAGGACGATGTAATACAAGACACCCTACACTGATAATGCTTATTTCATATTTAAAACTTGACTTTATACTGCGCTGAGAATAACTTATTTTGCTTAGGAGGCTTTTCCATACGTTTTCTCTTAGTAAGTACTTAAAGAATTAAAGATTTTTTCTAAAATGGGTATACAACAATCATAGTGATATTTTAGCAAATAAATGTTTTATTTATTTGATTTATCAGATTATCCAATACCTGTAATATTTATTGTTACATTGTTAAATTTTATCTTACTTGATTATGTTTTAAAATAGTATGTCCACTTGAGATTACTATCATTCTTATTTTCAAAGCATTAAAAACCTACAAAATGCAAAGCATGAAGGTTTTAGAAAACAATTCAATTTTACATTTTAAAACAATTAACTTTACTAAAAAATGTATTCTTGAAGAACGTACTTGAATTATTTTAAGATACCAACGAAACCTAGGCATTGCATGCTTTTTGGCCAACTGAGTTTTATAACAATTGAGTTATAGCCAACAATAATACAATAAACAAATAATACAGTAAAATGTATATACATCGTTTGGCCATGCGTCAATGTCTGCTTTAGTTGTAATCAATAATGACTGTAAGTTATAAAGACTCACGAGCGGCCGAGTTGAAAATCTCAAAGCTTAGACCTACAAATTCAAGTAATCCTTTTAAGTATACGACCGTCAATATTAGAAAATAATACTATGAGCCTATTCTGGTTACGAAGGATTCGAACTTTATAAAACCCATCTTCGAAACACGTAGCACGGAAAGTGGAGTTAGTAGACACATCCTTTAACGTTGCCATAAATTAAGTTGCCTTAAATGAATGGAAATAACCGGTAGTTAGTAATGTTAAATTTAATATAAAATCTTAATTAACAGACAGAGAGGAAAGCGTCACTAGCAATGAGCTCTATAACATTATTTAAACTAACACAAAAAAAGTATGGTTCTTTCGTTTCATGTGTTCTTGCATGTGAGCTTTTAAATAAAATCATATTGACAACGTACTACTTCGTACTCTAACATCCAATCACTTGTAGTTTACTTACAATTTTATGCTTGTTATTGTAAAACTAATTTAATTGTTAGACATATCACTTCTACGCGCTGTTGGTCTACATAGTCTACTCTAGAACTCCAATGGGACACACGTATAGAAACATGAAACATTCAGTGGAACGTAAACGTTGATGTTTTATGTTTTTACATTAGCAAGTGATTCCGTCACCATCATAATCATCACAAGTATAGGCTATACCTTTTAAAGAAAAGAACAGTAACAATAATATTGTTCGTCTAAAATGCATAGCATAATACTTATAGTAAATTTATAAAGGTAATTTTGTCATTGGATTATACGAAATCTAAAATTTGATGAATTGATTAAGTGATATTATTTTCGTTGATCGCCTTATCTAATGATAGGGATTAACTTAAGAACAAGTAAAAACTCAAGTCTTTTCAAGGTTTTTGATTTGCTGGCGCAGTTACTTTAAATATCTTCGCATTGACATATTATATACGATTACCTTAATCATATAACCGATGTCCAATTAATATAACGCCCAACTATCTCTAGAAATTTATAAGGTTCATATTTAGTACCCTAAGACACTTTTTGCCCATGACAAAGTTGGGTACACCTGTACCCACCTTTGTCATGACTATGTCGTGACGACCACTACGAGTATTGTCCGACATTACATGTCTAATATATCAGAACTATATGTTGCGGAAGATAAAAACAAATATATATTATGAACAACGGATTCAATTTATCACATTTAAGGAATGGTTTTGCGTAGGACAAAAACACGAATAAAGTATAAATTTCTATTATTTTTTTTTACAATATCTGCGTTAACAAAGATATTTAAATGCAAGACAATCTTGACTTCGTAACTAGCCTAAGTTAGGACCAATATATTAAAACGGCGATCACTGAGAAACAATATGTAACGAACACACCAAGCTTTAAAAAAAAAACAAAAAAGTACAAACAACCACTTATATCTTTACATGGTATAAAAGGAAGTTCCTTTTTTTTTCTTGTCCCTTTTTTTTCATGTTTCGAATTACGCAATGGATTTTATTGCGGTTTTCACTAATAAAGAGAGTAATTGAAGATTGGGTTAATATTATTATGTATAATACTATGGATTTGTAATGTAAAGTCGTAAAAAACATGTCGTAGTGCGCTTACTTTGCAAACGCTAGTTAAACCTTACGAGATAGATCAAAATAATGAATACGGAATTGTATATCTTAAAAAGTCCTACAAAAAATTCCGCGATGATATATGTTAATCTCCCAAGGATAACCCGCTATAACTATTTTTATCTTTAATATATAACAAAAAAATGGGTTATTTACGAAGCTATTTTGAACAATACAATATTATTCCTTATCCAATTAAATACTTTGGTTACGTTTTGCATTTAATGCAGATCAAAATTGCGCCTTACAGCATACAATTAAAATGAATATCTTAGGAGATATCAAAGACTTAAATGAAAGCGGCCGTCGTCGGGCCGTACGTCCGTCTCAGGTGATAACAGCCGGCAGGAGCAGAGCGGACCTATAAATATCTATACTAATATTATAAAGCTGAAGAGTTTGTTTGTTTGTTTGTTTGTTTGTTTGTTTGTTTGTTTGAACGCGATAATCTCAGGAACTACTGGTCCGATTTGAAAAATTCTTTCAGTGTTAGATAGCAGATTTATCGAGGAAGGCTATAGGCTATATATCATCACGCTAAGACCAATAGGAGCGGAGCACCAATGAAGAATGTTTCAAAAACGGAGAAAATTTATTACTATTGAGAGACGCAGACGAAGTTGCGCCGGTCAGCTAGTTCTATATAAAGATGTCCTGTAGTATAGTCTTATCATAATAATAGTATAATTCATTGGGACGGATGGCTAGTTAGAATATAAATTCCTATGAAATTGCCGTTTTGTATGCAATAAGTGAAAGTACTTATTTTTTAAACTTTTTTATTTCTGTTATTCGAAGTAATCATCTTTGCCAACGCATTGGCAGTTTATTGATGCCCTTCTTGTAAAAATCAGCTGGACGGGAGGCAACAAACTCTTCAAAGGCATTTTGTACTGCCTCTCGGGAATTAAAATTTTTACCCACTAAAAAGTTATCTAAATTTTGGCAAAAGTAATAGTCGGTAGGTGCAAGGTCTGGTGAGTATGGCGGATGAGGGAGAGCTTCCAACCCCAACCTTTTGCAGCTTGGAGACTGTCTGTTGCGCAGTATGGGGTCGCGCGTTGTCGTGAAGGAGCAGTGGGGACGACCGATTGACCAAAGCTGGTTGCAGATGTGACCACCAGACCTTGCCCCTACCGACTATTACTTTTTCCAAAATTTAGACAACTTATTTATCCTACCTACCTATTTTAAAACATAAATTAATCTATAATGTGATCGCAAACACAAGACGATTATTATGTAAACTTTAGGGTACACAAGGCAAAGGGTAAAAGTTTACCAATACTGATAGCTATTTGAAATCAAAATTCTATAATTATGTAATTGAGAGGTTTCTAAAATAATCTAATCTAAAATCTTTACATAAAAACTATCATAAACATTTTAATAACATTTAAAAAACAATTTTGCTTGACTCTGGCATGCAAACATCAATGTATTAATGGGCCATAGCGACCACTCTTTTGAAATGGGTCTATTACTTAATTACACTACTATTATGCATATTGGTCAAGAACACAGTAAATTTAATTGTACCCTATGTCTGTTCATCACCAATATTAGTTTGAACGCCTTCGTTCTATATATTTTTTCACTGCTATATTATTGTAAATATTACAGGATGGGCAGGGTGAGCCGCTCATGGCCGCAGCCGGAGCCTCGTGGTTGGGCACTCCGCGCTATGGATGGACGCCTGGCACGCCAGTGGCGAGCAGACAAGAGACAGGTTCGCTTCCGTCAGTGCTACTTCAACCCTATCTCTTGCTTCCGCAAGTGAACGCCTACGACTCACGACGTATCGCCCCTATGACCTAGTATATCGACTGATGTCATATAATTCATGATTTAAGAATAAAAACTTTTACATGTATTTTATTTTGACAACATCATTAATGTCACAAACATAAACCTGTCATGTCACGTGTGTGACGTCACCTTAACTGTTACCACAAATTCAACAATATTTTACTGATGAATTCAAGTTTGTTAGCAAATAAATCATAAATCATATCATAAACAGGAAATTACAGTGTAATGTATACCATTTTAATAATTGAACCATTTAAAGGTCAACAAAGGCACTAGACAGCTAATCAGTAAACATAGCCGTCAAATCTAATAAATTTTCCAATACCGAGAATATTCATAATGTTAGGAAAATTCGCTAGTTTAAATATTCATGGAATTTAATCCGTTTACTCGGTAGTTTTCAGATTTAATTACATGTGTTTAATTGTCCAACCCATTTAGGTAGATAATATGTCTAGTCATAGAATAGAATTTTTTCTTGTCGTCCAGTCATAAGGCAATTTACTTATTATCTTATTAGTTTATTTTAGCGCTATTTATGTTATACAAATGTTAGAATATTGATTCTAGAGCAATCGTTTGCTAAAAGCATTTATCTTAATACTTTACACTGTCTTCTAATATTAAATATTCTTACGTAATATAAGTAGGCCTACATATTTATATGTAAAATCTATTGTAGGTAAGTGTTACTAAGATAAATAAAGATAATCAATGAAATAAATTATTGTTTGTCTAACAATTTTTTTATTCTAGTCACCTCTACGCCAAACGTCGATCATATGTTACGTGCTTACCATTTACAAAAAGGCAGAACATTTGCTATCTGAAATAAATAAAATTTTAACACGTACCTCAAATGTCATACTCTGTAAAATTGAGTCACCCTCAAATTTTACAGAGTTTTAAAAATATTGACGCCAAGACGAGTCAAATAAAGCGCAAGGGCACTACCTACCCTTTCTCGAAGCGCTTCGTCGTTTTCTTGAACCCTCATAACTTGGCTTTGGATTATACCATATAAATGAAATTCTCAGTATATGATGTCAACGGTAGAATTATTAAACGTATAAAGTTTCAATTACATTTTATTTTATTGCTATCTTATTACTATCTAAAAAAAAACGATTTCGTCACTGACTCACTGATGATCATTAAATTTCTTAGGATAGTTCAGGTCATTAGGTAGGGTAGTTAGGGTAATTCCTGAAGTCCTAGAAAGTTGAATTTTGGTATGTAAGTTAGTATTAGTACATTAATCACAAAATTCTAAAACCGGAACTTTTACCTTTCTACACCTTTTCAAAACATGTTGCTCCTGTACGACAACCGTAAGCGTTCGTCTCAGTAGGTGGACCCGGTGGAATTTTACCGCTGCTTAACGCACTGATTACGTGCTTGAAAAAAGATTGCCCATAGGAAGATGATCGTGACTGTCTGGTAGACCAGTTCATCACAGCTCCTTACTGAATGGCACAACAGTGACGGCAGATATTTATTGCAGATAAAATCGCACTTCAACAACCGCGACTGGTTAAGTGCTCTTTCCCATTGCTGCTCCACGGCAACGCGCGAGCTCACACTTCACGACATACCATCGCAAAGCTACAAGAGTTACGACTAGAAGCTCTTCGTCACGCAACGTACTCACCTAACCTTGTCCGTCGAAACTTTGATTACTTTATTCAAAATTTGGTAATTTTTTTTAATTGGGAAAAATTCAAAGCCTGGAGGCAGTACAAAACGCTTTCACTGCCTTCATCACCTCCCGTCCAGCAGACTTATACAGTAAAGGGATAAAGAAACTGCCATCAAAATGTCAAAATTGTATAGATAACTAGCTGACCCGGCAAACGTTGTTTTGCCATATACATTATTTCAATTTCTTTTGTAAAAATAATAATTAGGGGTATGAAAAATAGATGTTGGCCGATTCTCAGACCTACCCGATAAGCACACAAAATTTCACGAAAATCGGTCGAGCCGTTTCGGAGGAGTTCAACCACGCACACCGTGACACGAGAATTTTATATATTAGATTGGGCCAGTACTTTGATTAGCGAAAATAAAAACATAACCAAAAATTTTATACAAATCTCCAACTTCATAGGTAAAGGCCTAATTTAACAGAAAAGTAATGAACGGTGAATATATTTTTCACCTTACGCCCATGTGGCGGTAGTGAAATGGCCAAGCTCTACTCTTCCTCCGAGGCTTTTTTTCCCGAACTAGGTTGGGGTCGGCCTTAAGTCTACTACTTCGATTTTTGTACGCCAAGCGGCTGTCATCAGACCTCCACAACCCATATAGGTGATATCGAATTTCTATAAAAAGACTGTTCTTGGACTTTTAGGGCTCCAACTACCCGTAACGATTGCTACAGACGTTCGTGCGGAGATCGGGACCAACGGCTTAACGTGCTCTCCGAGGCGTGGAGGATTCTCAATGTCTTAAGAATGGTCACCCATCCATAGACTGAGCTGGCTAAGATTGCTTAACTTTGCAATTTGTTTACCTACCACGTGGTGTAGAACATAGGCGACGTGGATGAACTTTGCTCTACATGCGTAATCTGCTGAATTTTGTTAACATTCGGTTCAATATGTGTGTGATTTGTGATCACACAGTGATGATGATATATGTGTGATGTATTTAATAAATCAATAATCACAAATAAAAACCAGGCAAAAAATAGTTGATGATAGCAATCGGTAGCAAACGTACGCTTAAGTTAAAAAAAAAAACGTTTAAATCGGTCGATAATCCGAAAACTAAACTATATAAATTATTCCCTTACCGCAACTGTGATAACTATGTATATAAATTCGTATCTGTTTCATTGACAAGAGAAACCCTTTGTCAGTGTATTAGAACGTTCAAATCAAATAAGTTACTTTCAATAAATATCAAACAAATTAGAGTATGTTGCCAAATAATGTGCTTAAAAATTTCAGTAAATAATTTAAAATCATTGAAAACGATTTCGGAGATCATTACGTCCAAGAGGTCACGTTCAAGTTTTTTATTACTCTCGCAACTAACACTTAGAATTGCCTACTCTGGTATAAAATACTATAAATGGTCTCCAGATGAATCTCCAAAAATGGAATCCAGTAGGTCTAGTAAGATGTACCCTAGAGCACTCCTTAAAACGTTGTGAAAAATATAATACATTAATTTCGCAATACAGTCATAGGTACTGAAAAACACAACACGTTTTCGTTTGAGGCAATTGATAGTATCAAAAATTCACCAAAGTGATGCGTGTCACGTGTAATATGATCGAATTGGAATACAGAAAAAATTGTTGTGTGGCAGAATACTCAAACAGTTTCTAAGGGTAATTTAACATTCTCATATTGACTGGCTGTACTTGTGGTTCATATTTAAAAATTATGTTTATACTAATAAATAAGGCTGTCGTTATTTGGTGATAATCACAAAGTATTTAGAAAAATAATAATTTGATAGTCCGACTTTTAAAGAATGTTAGTCTATTTAATATCACACAATACGACGTTTAAATGTGGAGTAGAGGCTATAAAAGCACCTGAAACCTCGGAACTCATTAAATATTTTTTTATAGAAGTGATGTATGACATCCTGAATCGTAGGTATTACAAAACATTTTGAGTTTATGACTATACTAAGATTTATATTTCGGCAGTTACCAGGCCAACACTACTAAAAATCGTTGTTTCGGCTGTCTCTAGAGGGCTTAGTGTAAGTTAATTTTACATCAACTGCGATTGGTGAAGAGTTTAATCGCAACGCCGAACACGGTCACCGTGATTATCGAGTTGAGGTGAAATTAACTCACACTATGGCCTTAGCAGCGACAGGAGAATACTAGTCATCACCGGCTCATGTCCGCTTACTTTTTGTTAAGCGAACACACTTTATGATAAACAGACAACAATGATCTTCCAGAGCGACGTGAGGGCACTGCTGCCTCATACTGAGTACATGAATCACTGTTAGTGTTTGACCACTGCATTTTTGTATTTTTTTTTTTCATTTTATATTCACGTCACATCATCATTCACAGAGAGACTTAGACTCAAAACTATTGCTTAATGCCTAAATAACCGACAGCATCTCTGTTGACTATTTATGGACACCACGTTTGTAAAAGACAGTGTTTTTCTCACCGAACAATCGTGATAATAGACTAACTTGGCTAAGTCCAGGTATTATGTAGCATGGCCAGACCGTGGACACGGCTCTCCACACGCTGGCAGAGTGCCCGGCGTGGGTTGAGCAGAGGCGAGACCTCGTGGCGGCCATCGGAGTGGGAGTTCTCTCGCTCGATAGCCTGATTGCGGCTATCGTGCGGAGCGAGAGTGCGTGGAACTCTGCCGTCTCCTTCTGCGAGCAAGTTATGCTCGCGAAGGAGACGGCGGAGCGGGACCGGGAGAGGTTTAGAACTCTCCCGGCCCGCCAGGCCACGGGCCAGGCAGCGCAGGCGACTCAGGCGCCGGAGGTCGCAGAACGACCTCCGTCCTCCATAAGCGCAGGCCTGGGGGTGACAGGTGAGGCCATCTGTCACCCTAGCAGAAGCAGGCCGGGGTGGCGGCGAGCGCGTTGCGAAGCGCGCTTGCTTCCAGGGAGCACAGGGAACATGGGGTTCCCACACGGGGCGGGGGTCGTCTACTCGTCTGTAGATGACCCGAGGTATGTCGGGGCACCAGGGACTTCCTTTCTAGGGTATACCTGGTTCCCCGGCTATTAGTACCCGGCGAAGGCGTGCGGTTTTAGTCGGTTCGAATCCGACATGCCACCGACAGGTGGTATCCGAGGGGATTTCCGCACGGAAAAAAAAAAAAAAGGTATTATGTAGCATAGACAAAGGCATTTTTAATTATAGTAAAGGAAGCTTATAAAGATTGTAAGGATAAAAGTTAGTAGAAAACAATCTCAATCCATATGAAATTACGGTTTTTTAAGTTTCGCGAAATACATCTGAGT